ACTTGTTAAAACGTAATTCCGACGTTTTCACCTAAAGTTACTGAAGTTTTTAATTAAAACAATTATTCCATTCGCCTTGTCGGATACGAGATGATTATAGCCAACTCGCGCTACGCGCTCGTTGGCTATCTATTTTCTCGTATCCAACGCGGGCTCATGGAATAATTGTTAAATATTCCTCGAGACGAAGTCGAGGGGAATATAAAAACAATAGCCTCCGTTTGGCGATGAAATATGCACACTGGTTATAATCCATCAAATATTTTTCTCGCGCGCGATTGGTCTAAACATGTCACGTGATGCAGCCAAAACTGGGGAATATCCGGGTGATATTCCCCAAGTGATATTCCCCAATTTGAAAAATTTGCATTGCACGTTCGCAGGTTCAGTTTTCGTCTCAAAAAAATTGCTAAATTAAATAAAGCTGATTGTTTGAACAGACTAGAAATATTTTTGAACGCCAAACATAATTATTTTGAAGGTTTAACAGCTTGGCCGACCGAGATCTTCCATGGCAAACAGAGCGGCCTTGTGAAAAAAAATTGAAGGATAACTACAATAGCCTCCATTTGGCTTCAAAAATATGCTCGGATATTTGTCCTTGGACATTATCTGTTCCTCGAACCTCACAGTTTTCCTCGAGCCTTCGCCGTCCGGAAAACTGTTCGCTTCTCGGAACAGATAATGTCCGCGAACAAATATCCGAGCATATTTCCTCGCCAAATGGAGGCTATTTTTTATATAGTTCCTCGACAGAAACACTCTATTGTTATAATATTCCCCAGTTTTGGCTGCGTCACGTGACGTGTTTAGACAATCGCGCGCGAGAAAAATATTTTGATGGATTATAATCACCAATATTCACGAGCCTGAGGCTATAACTTCTCCTCAAATATGAATATGACCTAAAACTACACATAATGATTCATTTTGACATGCTCTTTCTTGTTATTCAATTCATTCTTTAGTTATAGACATTTCCATTTTGCAACACATGTTAGGATAGGTTGTGATTTCCCATACAAATGTCTAAAATTTGAATGAGCCATAACTTTGGACCCGTTGAACCAAAAAAGCTCACACTTCTCGAGACAACATATTTTTCAGTACCTTTTAATGTGATTAGCCTAAACTTCTTTAAAACCGAACCAAACATTATCATTAAAGGAACCTGCCATTGCTAATAAAACACTGGTATTTGTCTTAAACACGGAGCGAACCTATAAAAGGACTGGAAACAGCACTTTGTTGGCTTCAATTTATCGCAAATGGCAGACGAAATAACGGTCGTGAGACGATTGAACGTTTAAATTAGATGTTTCTTTGCTCAATTCATAAGAACTGGTTAATTATTTTTGGGAAAAACACTACAAAAGTTTTTATTTTTATTTTAATAAGTTTTAAAGGTGGAAGAAGATAAATCTGAACGGGAGTATTGAACGTCGACCCAGACCTAAAAATTCAAATTCCGCATGTCAAAAAGCAAACTGACTGAATCCTACAATTAAGGTTTCATTTCGATATCTTTATTAAGAGAAAAGCAAGAACTGAACCGAGTTATGTAGTTTTGAGCTGGGTTTGGCAAGAGTTTCAAATAATACGCGAACATATGTTTACTGTTGTTCTCAGAACACGCTAGCAAGTTCGCCGAGTGCCGTCTTCACCTCTATTTTATTCTCGCTTTAGCGGCATTAGCACCAAGCATTTCGCCTCTCTCATCTTTACAAATTTCTCCATTCAAAAAATCGGCCAAAAACTGTAGAGATTCCCCTTCATATTATTAAATTCATTGAACACTACCTACAGTGTTCATGTCTCAGAACTGCCGTAAATATGCTTGTATCCGTTGACTTGCCGAGAACAAAATCACAACGAGCAAAATACACTGACCGGCAAAATAGTACAGAAATCAACTTGTTGAAATTAAAAGCTGCGAAATCTTTGTTTATTCGTTTTTCTTTCACCCTACCTTTTTAGCACATCTATAAATTTCTTATTACTTGTCCCTGCTTGTCGAGTTGTGCGTAAACTATTTTCGAAGTGATTTTATTTAGAAGCTCATTCTACTGGCTTTTTTTCAGCGATGCTAACCAATGAGGCACTTTCATTGTGGACTATCTTGACAGGCTGAACACCTCAGCCTCGCTTTATAGGACATAACTTTGGACCCGCTCCATGTTTAAAAACGTTCGTCACGCATACTGTACTGGATTCAGGTATAATCGGGGGATGAAACAGAATAATAAATATTGCTAGACAATAAAATTCACTTTCTCTGTGGAATTTTGCTTGTCGAAACCAAAAAAGCATTACTTAATATCATCTTGATCAGGAAAACTCTCATTTACATTTACTTTCAACACACTGATTTGCATACGCGACTTCGTCAGTTGGTCGTCATATAAGATTTGAATAGAAAAAACACTTCATGTAACAACGCACGAATTTTTATTTTTTATTTTTTTAAATTAAAGTTCTGGAAACGATATATTCCGTCCTTAGTTACAGTTCATTGCGTGACAGCAGTCCTTGGGATGCGGACATAATTCCATTTACTCTTGGAGTTGATCAGTTGACCCTCTTGAACCTCTAAAAATTCACCTTACTACGCCACTATTTCAACCAAGGCCACCCGACAAAATCAGTATGTGCAAATTAGAGAATTAGAGGATGTTAACTATAGATTTCCCACAAATTATGGATCTAAGCAAACTTCACACTACAGAAGCAATACATTTGTGACCATTTTTATGATTTTAACACTCAAATGCTATTGGTCAATTTGCAAAGAATTTGCTTCGGTGGCCTTGGTTGGAGTACCGTAAAAGCGAGTAAGCCCCCTGGGGGCTTATTTAATAGGGGGCTCATTATTCCATGATTCTTGTTATAAACGTAGCTGCTTGTTGGAATCACAGAACCAATAGTTATCGGAACATTCAAATTTCCTCGGCAGCTTGAAGAACGCAGAATGAACAGCACACGGGTAATGACGGTAATGGACATATTTCCATCGCATTTCATACAGCGTTTTCTTTTGCGTCAATATTTTTCCTCGTACTCATTTCTCTGGAGCGTGTGTATGCTATGATTTGGCCGCTCCGCCATCGAGTAACAAGCACTGAATGTTACATTTACGGTGTCACGTTTGTGTGGTTGACTGGACTTTTTACAGGTATAATATATGTCTTTGCTTGCTGTACAAGGCCTCTTGGATTACGTTAACTGGATAGTTACATCCGGGATTATTGTTGTTTTATCTTTGATCACGATCTGCCTGTCTTCTCTGACAATCCGAAGAAGACTGAACTGCAGAGTTCCTGGCATCGATACGGCTCATAACAGACAATGTGCATCAGAACAGAACACAAAACTCTCCAGGACTCTGTTTATTGTTATAGGCGCGTCTCTTGTCTGTTGGTTTCCTAGCATTGATCTTTACTGCATTCATTATCTGTGTTTCGAATGCATTCCTTTATCTCTGGTTCATATTTTCAGTTACGTGTTTCGTTTGGCAAATTGTGTCGTCAATCCAGTTATTTAAAGTTTTAGAATTCCCGCGTTCAGATAAACTTTCAAACGAATGAAGCAGCAGCAAAAAAGCAGCAAAAGCGGTCAAACCGATATAGACTTAACTATAGGCCTTGAAAATCAATACACTAAATATGCACTCTGGCCAAACTGGCCCATGAAGCTGACTAGGAGTATTGCTACTCCCTCTGAATGGGATGTAAGTCCATCGCAGGATAACCCACAGCATTGTGTTGCCCGGGGGTACCCATTATCAGAATGAGTTCCTCGGTCATTGGAGTGAGGCACTGTACTTGTCCAAGAAGTACACAACACAGTGAGCACGGCCAGCGCTCGAACCCGGACTGCTCAATCCGGAGTCCAACACGCTAACCATTAGGCCACCGCGTTTTTAAGAGTTAGTGAATAAGAGAACCTCAAAAAAATACCTCGGTAAAAAATTAATTACAATTTAAATTTCGTTTTTGTTTATAAGAATTGAGGCAGCCTTTCATTTTTAATGTTTTATGTACTAGTAAATAGTGAACACGTCTCAAGAAGTTTGATTATTCAGGAATAAAAACACAAGTTTAATATTGGTAGTTTTTAACAATTGTTTGCAGGACCTCCAAAACGACTTCGGGTTTACATTTTAAGTAGGAATTGAGAACTTTTTTAGCTTTTTTGGGGGTGAGGTGCATTAAAGGAGAACTGAAGCCAAAAAGCAAAATTCATAATTTTTCGTATTTTTTTTAAGAAGTCTAAGACATGCTAAAACCAAGTTTCGGTGGTTATTTGTGTCTGTTGCAATTCGTTTGCGAGATATTTTGGTGTTGAATTTGCCTTTTCCGCGCTTTTTGAGCCTTGATCCCTGTGGGCTTCATGATTCTTGTTCAGCGGGCTTTTTTAGCGGTTAAGCTGTGGACGTCCATGATATGGGGGAAACCGTGTTTATTTCGCCAGTGAAAACAATACAAAGCTTTGCATTTATCTGATCCCGTTATTTGCCAATTTCTACTTACTATGAGTGTAGAACCGTTTCTTTTTCGAGCCAACATATCCTCCTGCGTGCAAGAAACCAAGCGACTCACAAGGGGAAGATGGAAGAAGATAGGACGGTGAAACCCGACCGAATCGGTAACAAACAATGCGTGTTTGTATTTACGTGGGAGGCTGTCGAAGCGGCTCGCGACTCCTCGGTCGACGAGTGTTTCAACTGTGATGAACTTGAGGAGCTAAATCAAAAGCTCCGACGAATCAGGTTTTGGTTTTATCAAATACTAGTTTCGTTCGAGGATTCTTTTTTTATTGCTCGGTCGTTTTGTTGTCAAATGAACACGGTAAAAATACAGACTAGATAAAGATTCACAATTTCACAAGGGGCAGATCCATATTTTTGAAAGAGGGTGGGGGGGGGGGAAAAGCGCGTGATCGCTAATTATTTTAATTGTTTGCTAAACAACAACAACAATTCTTCATACCTGCCCGATGTGCTTTTTATTACATGGTATTTTCGATTTTACATGTAATTTGTTTATTTTGTGGCGGATTTAGGGGGGTGGCTAGTCAGCCAATCCACCCCACCCCCCTGGATCTGCCCCGATTAGATTTGAGCCTCTCTCGTTTTGTGGTTCAGCAGTTTTTCATCTATTCATAATAATTTTTTTTTTTACAAAAAGGCAACGATGCAGGAAGGAAATAAACAAGTTATGCACAAAAAAAAGTATAATAGCAGTTTCTTTGAATATTTTCAGTATTTTTAGGGCTAGTCCATTTATGGGTAGTCCATTTAAGTAAGTCCCATTTAGGGTAGTCCATTGGGGCCGTGGCCGTACATGGGACTAGGGGTCAGTGTTTTGTCCACATCCATTTCTGTTGTTTCGGTTACCTTTTTTTTTCTTAATACATGAAATCTCAATAATCTCGGCATTGTCAGCTCACGGTAAGGTTTTTTCCATAATTCCGTAGCAACATGGCGCTTAGCCCAGCACTGGTGGGTCCATGTGTGTATTGGGGACGAAACACCAGCAGGTGATTTCCAGCGTGCGTTGAAAAGGCCATTCGTTAAGAACTATTCCTGTAAGAACAGTGGCCAATACGCAATAGGTTTCAATAACAGCAGAAACTGGAACTGAATATAATCAGTGTATTTCATGGGCAAAACAGTTTTTTGAACTTTGCCATGCTCCATGGAAACTGCAACCTTGATTCATCAAAGTTTTGATTAGAGCTCCTAAAGTTGTTGGCAAACAGTACTCATTAGTCAGCCCAAACTGAAAAGCCTTCGCTTCACAATCACCTCAGCAAATATACAGTTGGTTGTTTATGATAGACTTCAACACATTCTCCTTCATTCTCCTCTTCTGAGTCGAATTGGTTCCTTTATCCCTTTTATTAATTTCTGATTTGAATTGTCTTAAATATTTTATTTTTAGGATTACATTTTAATTCATCTCTATTTACATCATGTTCATTACCGTACATCTGTAACATGTAAGTTTACTGAAAGGGACAGAAAAACAATACATTACTAAACTTCTGTGTATATTTAGTTGAACATGTTGCTGCCAAAAATTTGTAGATTTGTTATGATTACTTGCAGCTGTCGGACACTGTAATGTCATTATGTTTTTGTAAGTAGTAAAAGTAGCAAGCCGGAAAATATATTTATTGCTAATTTAGTGGAAACATGCTTGGCGGTGTTGGTCTAAATCGAATGTTTCGGTAATCAAACTCTATCGAACCATGCGCAAAAAACTCACAAGAAAAAGTTGTCAATCGCAACATATGATAATCAAACTCAATACTAACCATAATCGAACATTCAATTAACCCTACGTAAAGGGACACTGACTCCGCGCTATTTGCCTCAAAAACTGTTATAAATGCATGGGATGAAAGGTCCCTCAAATTCTATGAAATAAGAACCTAATAAACTCTAAATAAATGATAAAAAGCAATTTCTTCAAGAAATCCACACTGTGCAAAATTTCAAGGATTCTCCGCAGCCAATTTGAAACTTTGAAAACTGACATCCTGAGCGTTTTCAAAACATCCATTAATCTGCAATCCATTTCCATCCTCGCTGCCGTTTGTCATCCTCACTTCTTAAGGGTTCATGTCATTTGTTGAATGTTATTCTACAGAATCAAAAAAAACCATTATTGAATCAAACTCCTATGATTTAGATATGTTTTTCTGAGCTTCCCAAAATGTACGTGCAAAAATCAGGACAGTGTCCCTTTAAATTTTCTATATTTTGGGGGTGTTTCGCGTTTCATTCCGTTATAATAAAAATTGAAAAGGTTGATGATTCTGAACACAATCGAAATGGATTTGCGTTCGAATTGTGTTCAATTCCAGTTCCAATAAAATCAAACTCACATAAAAATTAAAATATGCGATTATGTTCAATCTGCCGAACCCAATTGAACACCAATCGTTTTGATTGCAGTTTCGATTTGGTTTCAGTTAGATTTTGTTTGATTAGGGACACCCCGGCGAACATGTCTGATTCCAAAGGCATAGATAGGCATAGACGTATATTTCATAGTGAGTAAGTCTTAAACACTTTCTCGGATGGAAACAATTCAATGTAAATAAAAGTTATTTGTACCCTTTGTATCTCTGACTATATTAAAATATTTATGCTATGTGCAGGCACGATCATTGCCATTTTTAATTATTTGAATATCTTGATGTGTGCTTAGCAATAAAATCTGCTCTAGGAGGCCTAGGTTTGCTAGCAATATTTTGGTAATGTGCAGGGCCGTGAGTGTTGCACTCCATTCCTGGGGTTTTGATTCATGTGGTGCTAACCTTTGGTTACTAAGAGGAATGGAAATAACAGTTACAGTAAAATTTTTCTGAGGTATGCTATAAAGTATAATTCATTTGTTCTTTCTTTTCTTTTCAATTTTTTTAGATTTAATATTCAGTTCATTTCAGTTTCTTGAAAAAAAAAAAACAGATGACCCCCAGTATGAATTTTTAAGAATGGAAAAATGAGCACCAAATATTAAAAAAAGAGTACTTCAGTTGGGGGTTGACTCATTTTGGAATTCGATTTAAATTAAAAATTTAAAATAATTAAATATTAGAGTTTTTTTCCTAAAAATCACAACAAAAACTCTGAGATTTATTGGTTTCAAATCCTCTAAATCTCTTCCATTTTAACCTTTCTTTAAATATCTTACATTATTTTGGCCTTGCCACTCACACACCTGATGAGGTAATATTTAGAATTGCATACAACCTCAAAGCAGTTATGCGTAACTTATTAAAGAGTTGAATTATTTTTTTGAAACAGCTTTATCATTTTTTGTCACTAATTTGCCCCAGTTTGACGTGGACAACTCGCGAAGCCCATGCTATAACAGCTGGCAGGCATTCATAATACTAGCCACCGCTGTTCTCTAACAAAACGTCTACTAGGACCGATATAGTCTTTGCTTTTTTGGGCGGGGAGTCGATGCCCGGAGAAATAGCGAGGGTATAGCATACTGGCTTCAGGCTTGCGCTCTATGCAGTTTGCAACCGCAGGACGTTCTGCTTGTAAGCACCCCGCCTCTAAAACAGTCGGCCGATGAAAAGCTACCGAACACAACCTAGAAACACAACATTGGAGTTTTGGAAAATGGGAAGAGATCAGCCAGAGAGCGAAATTGATATGATTATTACAGCCTAAGGAGTTTAAATTTATGCGGCGTTCCTTTACGAGAAGACTGGAAAGTATACTACGTAAATAAAGGAAAAACCAAAGTACCATCGTAGAGTTCAAAATTTTATTTGTAACTCTGTCGAGAGACCCTCTAAAAAAAGCCCACCACGTGACATCCACGCGGGACCCCGGTTGCCATACCTTCCCCGTTCCGCTTCCCCCCCCCTCCTCCCCCTTTGCATCCTGACCGCCATTTTCCACGCTGGGGTCTAGGACTTACAATTACAAATCAATCTATAAAAAAGTTCCCCCCCCCCCCCATCAAAGCAGGGATCTGGGGAATCAAGTCATGAAAGGAAAGCTTTTTTCCCTGTGGCGCAAAAAAATTTATACTCTAAGCAAATTCTACATTTAAGAGTTTCTGTGTGACAAAACGCCCCCCCCCCCCCCCCCCCCTTCACCAGTGCTACACCCCCGCCCCTCTGCCACCCACACGTAACATTTGCAAAATGCTCGCCCAGGGCAAATCACATGAATTTGCCGCAAAATTACTAAGCTTACGTGTTTTCGACATTCGATTACTAAGGTAAACGAGTAAAGATCTGTAAATATAAACTAAAACTTACACAATCCCTGAAAGATTTGAATTATAGATGTTGACACTCTTGGTAGTTTGCTACTTCCTCAAAACCTGTTTCTTGCCATTTAAAAAGCGATACCCTCGTTACGTAACGCTGCATACAAGGCTCTT